AATTAAAATTTTATATAACTATAATATATAAAATTTTATTTAAATAAATCCCTACTTAAAAATAAATGTGTGCAAAATCCAATCATGACCAGTGAATTAAAATGGAGCGAGTACAACTGAATTTGGAGAAAAAAGCGTAAGCCGTAAGGCCATTGTATTCACACTCTTCCTTCTACGAAATGAGCGTTGAGTTGTAGCGGTGTAGGGACCCCTAAGCGCACCATACGCTTAGGTGCCCCAATTCGCCTAAAGTCGCACTCTAGTCTCGGTTCAAGATTGAAGTTTAGAAAAAATTGGACACTAAAATTAACTAGTCTTTAGTAACATGCATCCATGGTTCGACCATCTGGGGAAAATTAAAAACTCATTACATCCAACATGCATCCATGCTAAGCCTAAAAAGAATTGAGGAAATTGCCGCCTTTTTCTGCCTTCGAAAGTGAATTAAGTAATCAATTAAGTGTCAAGTTTATGAATGATGCATGTTATTTTTTATGCAGGAAGAGATCAAAAAGTCATTGGCGATAATTATTGACACATTTTGGGTTGTCTTTTTTTTTTCCTCTGCATTGATCTTGGATTTTCATCTTGATAGATCATTTTCATCACACTTTTCATTTTTATGATATTGTTTATATTAAAAAAATATTTTGTAGTGTGAATTATATAATAATTAGTGTTTTATAATTTGATGTGATTTAAATTACAATACATCAAACTGTTGTAATTTTTATTTCATCATCTTCTACCTCTCCAACAAAAATAATCTTTTTATTTCTTAGCCAATTTTCCGATATAACCTCACTAACTGCATATTTGCATTCAAGTTCATATTTATCATATCAATTGAGGAAACTTTATTACTCAAAGAAAATTGTTGAAAATGAAATGTGAGGCTGACCGTCATGAATTTGTAGTCAGTATTATTTTTTTGAGAAATGACACATACACCCTCCGAAGTTACACCCTTCATTACATACTGACAGTTTCTGTTAGGGTGTCATTAAAATTAATGGTTTTTGTTACTTGTGCTATTAAAACTGACGGTTTTTATTATTTCTGCCGTTAAAACTAACAATTTCTGTTAATTTTAACAACATACTAATAGAATCGTCAGTGTATAACGGAAGGTGTAACTTTGGAGGATATAACTTTGAAGGATGTAACTTTCGAAGATATATGTATCAGTGTCATATTTCTTTTCTTTTTTTTTTTTTTGGTCAACTAAATTAATTTTATTGATATAGAATACAAGAAATATTTTAAAGGTTAAATACCCATTTTGGTCCTTTTACTATAGAAAAAAGGTCTTTTTTAGTCCTTGTATTGAAAAAATTCCCTTTTGATCTCTAAAGTTTGAAATCTAACCTCTTTTTAGTTTCTCTATTAAGTTTTGACTAATGTAGCATGTTAATTAACTAAAAAACTTTATTTTTTTCTTTTCTTAAATTACGTGGCAAAATCCATCTGGTAAAAGTTAATGATAAGGTTAAATTTTTTGTCTAATACAACCTTAAAAATCATTTAATTACACAAGGATGACATAACCCTAAATCAATAACTAATTGTGTGCATAAAAAGTTAAGGGCATAAAAAGTTGTTTTCCCACTAGTTAGTGGAGCTGGAAAATGCGTCTTGTCTTAATATGCTGATTTTTCTCCCGTGGGCTTTGGGCAATCTATCATTTTCCACTCGTATATTACACTCTGTTGGCTTTTACACATCTTTGAAGATAAAAATCAAAGTCCTCCAACAATCCATGTCACATATCGTCAACTTCTCGTACCAATGTTGTCAATCTAATGCTAGTTTTTAGCATTTCTCGAAAATAAAAATTTCATGTTGGTCTTAAAATTATGTTTAGGGTTGAAAAAATTGCCTAGGCACAGTTGCTTAATAGGCTTATTGGTCAAATAATACAAACCCGTTGCAGTGTTGAAGAATAAGTAGTTAATCACTGAAATAATACTGTTCCTAGTCTCAAACTCTATCGAGAATCTAGATCGGAAATTGAAACATTATTCACTGTGAATTAAGCTGGTCCATTTGTGGATGCCTCTGGCTCTATGGCAGAGTGCATATAATATGCTGGTTTTGATGGCAATGGAAGAGATGATCCAGGGCTGCTACCAAGCATCAAAACAACAGAAGCCATGGTTGGTCTCCTGGCAACATTTGCCTGAACACATAGTAGGCGTATTTGGATACATCTCATCATTTCACCACTAGAACCATCCCTCATAATGGGATCTATTAAATTTAGAGCTGTCCCCTCCATCCAATTTTTCCATGCCTGCAAAGATTTAATCATGTGTGGATAGTTAAAGGAGAATTCTA